AAGGGCATTAGCTTCTCTGTCTTTAGGAGTTCATGCTGATTAAAGAATGCAGTTATTGCTAATGCTCTTTCCTCTAGTTCTAAACAGACAAACGAGAGTAAGACACAGATATCATCTTCAGAAGATGATACATCTCCTCCACCTGTGTTACCTCTTGCACTTAACTTCTCACCAGAAAAAAATGCTACAGAAGTAGTAGAAAACAAATTAAAAGAAGCTGAAGTACAAAATCAATTGGCTGAAGAGAAAACAGCTGAGGTAAGAAATAACACATTTTTCTACAGTACTAAGCAAACAGCTTGAAAAGAAATTATTTAAAGATGACGGATTATGGAAAACCAGTACACATGAAGTTAAAATGGATTAACTCCAATTGTTAATTTAGTGCACCCTCTAGTGCTTATATTTAGCACTGAACAGATGTTCAGTGTTTCTACTAAGATCGTTCTGCTAAGGAAGCTGAATGGTCAACTACTTGTAGTTTGATATTAAATTTCCACTTCTGGATAAGTACTGTGAAATCACTGTGGATTTGATTAGAAAAGCAGTCACAAGGCAGTTCCTACTGCAGCCATAAAGTAGCTAAATTCTAGCACCTAACAGAAGTGCAAATCTGCATACAATGAATGAGGATTAAACCCCAAAGCCCATGTAGCAGTAAATGCTGTAGTAAACTTGGTTAAGTGTCACTTATTTAGTCAAGTAATCACTTTTCCCCTTTCCCAAGAATCTACTGGCTTTGTGTTGAAAGCTGCTACTCCACAGGCACTAAGGAGAAAAGTCTGAACTGGTAGTGCTGAAATAGTAACCTGTCATAGTGGCTACTGATTTACAAATATTCAGTTACAGAATATCTGTAGATTAATTGATATAACTGCATCGGTATTTTCCTTGTTGACTTACTTGATGTCACAAAGTATCTATTATAGAACTGTTCAGCACATGTCTAGAGTAGTTGAACAGGACAAAAGCATGACTAAAGTTTGGAGGTGTATGGAACAGATTATTTGGCTAAACAAGATTGCAGAATAATTGCAGTCAAGTAATTTAAATGACTTCAGAATTATTACTTTTCTATGTAATTTACCCACTTTTAAGTGAAAAATCCTTTCATGCCCAAAGGAGCTCTTTTGCTTTGTCTTGCTGCATTTTCCTTATTCATGATGCCAGCCTTTGGCAGAGCAGGAGCTGAGATTTTACACTGCATGCAAATAATCCTGCATGAAAAATACCCAACATGTACGTTAAGCCTCTCTTTTGATTATTATGGCTTCATAAATTGCCTAAGTCCTTATGAAAGAAGCATGAAGAACAGAGGGGAAAATCTGAACTTTTTTTTTTTTAAAGGCCATTCTGGTAGATATTGGAGTAGACACATCTCTCCCACACATCTTGGAATGTGAAAATAGACCTCTGATTGACCTTTCCAATACTCCTGAAGTGAATAAGGTTACTCCTCTAAAGCCCATGTTCCCAGGGCAGGTGAAGGTAAGTTACATTCAAATCTTCTGGCGCAAATATGCTAGCAGAAAAATGTCAACTGGCTGCATGTGTTTTGTCTGCAGAGCAGCTCCACAGTACTTGTAAGGATTATTTAACATGAGCTCGTATGTTCAGTATGATACTACACACAAGGGATCTTAAGTAAACAGAACATAATATTTAAAATTGGTGTGCTCTAAAGAAGCTCAGTGAGCAATGTGCAAATAGGAAAAGGAGGAGGATGGAGAAAGAACTTGATGCTTAAAGCAGTTCTCAAAGAACGAAACTGCTCTGAAGCAGGAAGTGAATGCTGTCTTCAGCACAGCAGCATGCTGACTTGTTTTCCTTTTCTTGTATATTTCCAGTTCTTAAGAGCAGCTGCTCATTTTCAGCAAAAAAGCAGGGCTGTCTCTTCTGTTTAACTCCTCTCCAAATCCCCTCCTTAGTTGAAAGGTGTGCATTAGAACCTACACTAAATTTGACAGATGTTTCTGGGGAAATGTTTTTTGTACACTAGTGGCTTGAACCTTTAGTAGATGCCTTTAGACGCTGTCAGATAAATGGTTCTAACTTTGAGGATGTAGCCTTTGGTGATGTTAGATGTAGCTGGGCTCAGCTTACCATCAGGTCCTTCAAACCATCTCAGAAGAGGATTACAGAAGTGACTTCTGGAGGCATGCTCAGAAGTACTCTGCCCTGCCTGGGTGACTGTGTCACTCCAATACGCACAGTTGTGAAACTCAGAAAAGCCTTTTAGGCTCTTAGCGAGTATGGGCAAATAACCACCTTGTGAGAAGCTTGTGCTTGTCTAAGAATAAGCTAGATGCTTAAAAACCTGAACCACCTTTGTGTGGTGCTTGTTTTCTGGATGCTAATGGGAATCTTGAAAAAGAAAAAAAAGTACTTGAAGACTTGTTAGAGATTATTGCTGCTAGTTATACACAACAGCTGACTACAGTAGCTAAAATGTTTCTTTTTTCAGCTAATTGATTTGAGTTCACCTCTTATTACTCTGAGTCCTGATGTGAATAAAGAAAACCTGGATTCCCCGCTCCTCAAGTTCTGAACTTGAGCCGAAATGAAGAATTCTTGGCATCTGTGATCTTTAAAGTATACAGGAATTACTCTTTGCTTCTACATGATTTTTTTGAAGATGGCTGTAGATTATGTGGTAAACTGTGTTAACACAATAGAATTCAAGCAGTCCTGATATAGCCTGTCTCGTTAATGGTTCTGCTCATGGATGTGCTGCAATTAATGTGTTTAAACTGCTGCTCTAAGGCAAAAAAGTTACTCTTTTTACTGGAAGACTTTCTTTTTATTTCCTATGTGCAATGAAGATTTAATTTAAAATAAATGGTTTACCAAATTATTGTACGAAATGGCAATGTTTTCATACAGGCTTTGGTTAGACGATTTTAGTGTTTCACTAACAAATGTTGAGATGTAGGTAAAGCTAGTGGATTCAGAGTGGGTTTTCATACAGAAGTGTAGCAAGTTTAGAAATGCATGTTTTATTGTTGAATGCTAGTGGAATACACTACCAGCAGCAGCTGAGTATTTCTAAACCAAAGCAGAGATATATAAATACTTAAATAAAAATTCCACAACTTTTTAGTGAGCGAAGTAGGTTTCTGCCTTATACTTTAAGGACTTATCAATTTGATAGGTGGACCACTCGGTGGATAAAGAACTGGCTGGTTTGCCAGCACACAAAGAGTTGTGGTCAATGTCACAATGTCCACCTGGAGACCAGTAACGAGTGGTGTCCCTCAGGGATCGGTGTTGGGACTGGTCTTGTTCAATGTCTTTGTCACTGACATGGACAGTGGGATTGAGTGCACCCTCAGCAAGTTTGCCGATGACGCCAAGCTGTGTGGTTCGGTTGATACGCTGGAGGGAAGGAATGCCATCCAGAGGGACCCTAACACACTTGTGAGGTGGGCTGATGCCAACCTCATGAAGTTTAACCATGCCAAGTGCAAGGTCCTACACCTGGGTCGGAGCAATCCAAGGCACAGCTACAGGTTGGGCAGAGAAGAGACTCAGAGCAGCCCTGTGGAGAAGGAGCTGGAGGTGCTGGTCGATGAGAAAATGAACATGAGCTGGCTTCACTGTGCGCTTGCAGCCCAGAAAGCCAACCGTATCCTGGGCTGCATCGAAAGGAGCATGACCAGCAGGTCGAAAGAGGTGATCCTGCTCCTTTACTCTGCTCTCGTGAGACCTCACTTGGAGTATTGTGTAAAGTTCTGGTGTCCTCAACATAAAAAGGACATGGATCTGTTGGAACAAATCCAGAGGAGGGCCATGAGGATGATCAGGGGACTGGAGCACCTCCCATATGAAGATAGGCTGAGAAAGTTGAGGCTGTTCAGCCTGGAGAAGGCTGTGTGGAGACCTCATAGCAGCCTTCCAGTATCTGAAGGGGGCCTACAGGGATGCTGGGAAGGGACTCTTCATTAGGGACTGTAGTGATAGGACAAGGGGTAATGGGTTAGAACTTAAACAGGGAAGTTTAGATTGCATATAAGGAGAAGTTCTTTAAGGGTGGAGAGAGGCACTGGAATGGGTTGTCCAGGGAAGCTGTGAATGCTCCAACCCTGGCAGTGTTCAAGGCCAGGTTGGAGGAGGCCTTGTGTGGCATGGTTTAGTGTGAGGTGCTCCTGCCCATGGCAGGGGGTTTGGAACTGGGTGATCTTAAGGTCCCTTCCACCCCTAACTATTCCATGAGTCCATGACTTGCAGGCGAGCCAGGTGTTTTATGCCCCTTGAAACCTCCCTTTTGTGAATGTATGCTGTTGCAGGCAGCTTATCTAAATCCTGGGTTTGAGCATGACTACTTACAAGCAAGCATCAGTCCTCTACCAGTAGAAACTATTTGGGTGGTGGTTGACCATGGCTACCTGAATACTTCTGATGTTGGCCAGCTCTATTGACTAGGCCGTTCACTGGAATTTAGGCACTGTGGTGATAGCTCTATGTGTCTTCAACTAAGAGCCAAATTCCAGCCGTCAAACTGCAGGTCAGTTGCTCTCAGGTTCAGGGATGTGCAGGAGGCTCTACTGCTCTGCAGTAGCAGCAGAGTCAGCTGGATGAGCCCTTGGCTTATCAAGTGCTAACAAGCACAAAGCAATGAAGTGGAGACTGTTACTGTCTTCGGGTCTTCCTTTGTGCAATTCCATCTGCCGAGTTTTGCTCATAGATAGCCGGCGGCTGCCTGCATGAAGTGTGTTTGAAGGCTCCTGAAGCGAGGAGGTTCGTGGGGCAGCAAGCTCTTCGGATTTCTCCGCTGGGCTTGATCTGACAACGGGTTATCCTCTCCTGCGGGGAGAGCCGGGCTGGCCACTAAGTGAAAGGGGGAACAAGCACCGCGAGTGCGTCCCCGGCCTCGCCTCCGTACGCGAGCGGCTGATGCTGCCCGCGCCGGAACCCTCGAGGGCCGCCCTGTTTACCCCGAGCGCCAATGGCCGCCGCCCCGCCCCGCGGCGCCCGGCGGAAGCTAAAGGCGGGCGGGGCGGAAGCGGCGGTGCCGCGGCCGCTGCGGGATAGGGGTGATGCTGGCGGGATCGCGCCGCGTGGCCTGCGCCGTGTCCGGCGGGGTGGACAGCGCCGTGGCCGCGCTGCTGCTGCGCCGCCGAGGTGCGTGACGGGCGGCGGGGCCGGGCGCTGCCCTCCGGCGGGACCGCCCGGCACCCGTGGGCCGAGTCCAGGCGGTCCTTCCAGCCCTCAGCAACGTCCTCCGGCGGGTGGGACAGCCGGCCTGGGAGCGGCGGGAGCGAGCGGGGAAGGAGGGGATGGAGACGCTCGGAGGTCTGAGATACCGCGTGTGCGGCTGACTTCATGCTGGCTGTGACTAAAAATAGCCATGCGGTATCCGAACAGTAACGCTGAGCAGATACTCGAGCAAGGCTTAACTCGGGTTTTGGTTCCAGGCAGTTAGAATTACATTTTTAAAGTCATTCTTGCCTTCATTTCATAGGCTACCAGGTGACAGGCGTCTTTATGAAGAACTGGGACCCTCTGGATGAGCAAGGAGCTTGCTCCGTCGACAGGGATTGTGAGGATGCTTACCGCGTTTGTCAGAAGCTGGATATTCCTTTCCACCAGGTTTCCTACGTGAAAGAATACTGGAATGAAGTATTCAGGTACAAACACGTTTAAAATGGGTGCTCTTTCCCTGTATTGGTGTAGTACTGTGTTACTGTGGGGAGGCAGGGTGGACAGATACGTACGGGTCAGTGACAGTTTACTGCAGTATTGTGAATGCTAAGAGAAACTACTGAAGCCTGTTAAATAACACAGGCATTATTTTTGCTCTCATTCATATTCAAGATCAGAATTTCTGTCTTGGCCTTAATATGTTTGTTATTCTTGAAATTAATAGGAGGCTTTTCTCTAGTTGTTATGAGCGTGTAGCAATTACTTTGTTCCAGCTTATTTCAGCTGCTGCCCACAACTGGCCCAACTTTACTGCAGCTTCATAAGAAAGTAGCAAATGGGGAGCTGTTGTTGTCTGTAGTTCATGTGGTGCATATTACATTAGCAAGTACTGAATCCAGTTTACTACAAAGTGATCATGAACTAGCCTTGCTTCTTTAAGCTTATAATAGATTTGAAACTGAAGAGGGTGTTTGGATTTTCTGTGGATTTGTTCAGCTTTAAGGAAAGTTCTACTTAGGAAAAGCCAAGGTTTTTTTGGAGGCAGGAGAAGGGAAGTTTATCTTTTATGCACGCAACATAGGTGCACAAAAGTTGTTCACTGATCTTCATTGCCCCCCTTTAAGTAGTGCTGTTGTTACCTTGTCTCAGAAGAAACCTAGTCATGCTGCGTCATGTTGAAACGAGATCGAGTTGAGGACTAAACTTTTACACGGTCAGTGAAGGAAAGAGCCCTGTTCTGGGAAAGTTAACGCCATGCTTCCCCTCTGGTGTGAGAGTATATAAATGGTACCAAAGCTCCTGAGGGGTGTCTGTAAATGACAGTGAATCAAAGATCGTAGAAGATCAGCTTTTCTTTTGCTTCTCATCGTTTATTAGTACAGTGTTCCCAGAGTGTCTGTGGCAGGTTACTTGGTTTGTTTGGAATCCTGTTTTTGTTACTGTCATCATTGACCTAGGATTTACTCTTCCTCTGGATCTCTCTTTAGAGGGTTATTCATCAGAAACACCTTTTATCAAGAGAACTATCCCAGGTCTTGTCTTGCCTGTGGTTTGTGCGCAGCCTGTTTCAAATCCTTACATCAGAGGGAGATTCAGCAGAAATCCTTCACTGCCTTTTCTCCAGTTCTGTACTTTACTTGAAGTTCTGAACTGATGTGAGTCTGTCTTTATGCTGAATCTTGGCTAAGTCTTCCAGCATACTTCTGCAGTAATTACAAAGAAGAATTGTGTTATCCTAAGAGTACAGTGCCGAGTCAGCAAGGGGGAGGCAGCTCTGGGTAGACCCTGGTGATTTAATTCTTAGTACGAACTGTTGAATTCAGAACTGTTAGAAAGGAGCTAGACAAAATTCAAGATATGTTGCTTTATTTTCTAGTTATGAATGTAATGAATAACATGGTGAAGAAGAAGCGACTGGTTCTGTTTCAGATGTTGAAAAGTAAAACCAAATAATAAGGTTGTTGGTGTACTTTTAAATCCAGCTTGTGCTCATTCAGTTCCTCTTGACTTCAGTTACTACTGAAGACAAGCTAAATAATGCAGTGATCAGGCCTTTTGGTATCTCAGTGCAGTACTGCATGCTGGTTTACTCTCACTAGTTAATGTTTTCAGGCAAATTATGCTAAGCACTTTAATTATGTGACAGTGTAAAACTACAATATGACTTTGAGAAACTACTTGAATTTCTTGAAGGAAAGAAAAAAGGGGAAAAATCCTATATAAAATTAAGTCCCGTGACTGTTTATGGTGGCATTATTGCAGATTAAGTTGTTATCCGTACTGAGCCACAGTAACCCCTGGTGTGTGCTCTACTGCACTGTCACTTAGAAAAACGAAGCAGGGTGGTTTCATTCTGAGGAAACAAGTAGGGTGTGTGCTGAGGGCAGCCATGTCTCCCCCCAGGGGAGCACTAATTTAATAAAACATGTTTACAAGACTGTGAGTGAGCATTTGACCGTGTCCTCAGTGCACTTTGGTGAAAATCTTCCAAGCATTGTGTTTTACAGGTTAACATCCAATGGGTGTTTTATTTCTAACATAACATGCTCAGTATGCCTAGGTCTTGAGTTCTCATGTTTAAACAGATCTTTCAGTCTCAAATAGTATTATGCTGTGTTAATAATGTCAATATACATTCGAATCTTTATTTTACAGTGACCTCTTAAAAGAGTATGAATTGGGAAGGACTCCTAATCCTGATATTGTGTGTAACAAGCACATCAAATTCAACTACTTTCTTCATTATGCTATGGATAACCTTGGTAAGGCATTTTCAAGTGTGTCAGTACAGAGTGTGTGCCATGGAAATACTTACAGGATACAAACTCTTGAAAAGGTGGCGGAAAACCTGAGTTCATATGCATGCCTAATTCACCTGTCTCTGTGGCAGTATTTCAGTATTTGCAGCTTTTTGTTTTAAGTTTGCTTTTACATATAGAATCGTAGAACAGTTCAGCTTGGAAAGGACCTTTGAATATCATCTAGTCCAGCCCCCTTGCTGTGGGCAGGGACACTTTCCACTAGAGGAAGGTGCTCATAAATTGGAACAGATTTACTCTGGGGACATACATTGACCTGACCATTAAGTTTTACATTCTTAGGTGGTCTTTCAAGTACAAAAGCACAAGTGCTGGCATGCTCATTAATAGTTTACGTTGTTTGAATAGCAGGAGTATGATTATTGTCAGTATAACACTTCTCTATAGGTTTTGTTCCATCACTGCTTTCTGCTTTTATTACTGGATGTTTATAATCCTGTTTTAAACTGAGTTTCAGGTATGTGCACTGATGTTTTGTTTTGTTTTTTTTTCTTGATAGGAGCAGATGCAATTGCTACTGGGCATTATGCTAGGACCTCACTAGAGGATGAGGAGGTGTTTCAACAGAAACATGTGAAAAGACCACAAAGGCTTTTCAGAAACCGTTTTGAAGTTAGAAATAGTAAGTGGATTCTTCATTTCTTATTTCATCCTAGGTATGAAACAGAATTTTAAACTCTTGTTTGGTGTCACAATATCACTTAAGTTTGTTACCTTACACACAATGATTACCATGAAAACCCCAGCCTTTATAGGAGGTTGATAGTGCAAAACAGAAGATTTACATTACTGAAAATTACCCTGACCGGTCAGGTATTACATTTTCTATTTTAAGAGTTCTAATCGAGGTGCAGAGGGAAGAATAAGCATTTCAGTAATGAACTTTCTGGAGGAGCTGTAATGTGGATTAAGGAGACAGAGCTATCTTTTGTTCCCTGAGAGAAGTATTTCAAGAAATCTTTATCTAGTATTTTCATGACTTACATAAAATTTTTTAATGTTTCATCTAGTTTAGAGAATGTATTATTTTGCTATTCAGTATACATGTAACTCATAATGGGGATATGCTTCAGTGGAATTTTAGAATCAAGGCTTTGAAACATTAAAATTAATAAAATATACTTTTATAAAATAATTGGATTGTATGTTATTTTGGAATTTATTATGGAAAAAATCAGTAACTCAGCTGTTCTGCCTCATTTCTCTGTTCTCCTATAGCAGCTTGGTTTTCCTAGGTAGATCTGCACTGCAGTTGAAAAGTACAAGTGCAGCATGTGCAGACATTTTTAAGGCTACTATTCTCAGGTCAGCAAAGGTGCTAGTAGCAGTAGTGCAGGTTTTTCTCTTTAATAGTCTGCCTGTGGCTGTATATAATCAAAGGCTGATCTCAGCACCCCAGTGGTTCTCCTGTTATCAGTGCAAAAGCCTGCTTGATGGATGTTGTTTCGGGTATGTCTCTGCATGGCACTAGCAGAGGTTGGATGGCAATGTAGAGATTTCACAAATAGCTCTGCAGTGGGCCATAATGCAGTAAAATAGATAAAACTGGTGCATATGGTGAGAAGCGTGTTATACCCACAGGGAAAGAAACTTGCAAGCACCCGGTATGCAAAGCTGCCACAGAGATGGTTTTGTGTTGTAGCATCCCCTTTTTTGATTTGGACTTAAAGGGGCTTTTTTGTTTCTTTGTTTTATTTCTGGAAAGTTGAAATAGGCACAGCAGAGCAAATGGTCTGTACTTGTGGCAGGCTATGATTCACTGAATTGTAGGATTTGACCCAGGGAATTACAGACCCTCAGTCTCACCTCTGTGCCTGGCAAAATCTTGGAGCAGATTCTCCTGGAAGGCATGCTAAGGCACATGAAAAACAGCGAGGTGCTTGGTGACAGCCAGCATGGCTTCACTAAGGGGAAATCCTGCCTGACCAATTTGGTGGCCTTCTATAATGGGGCTACAGAGCTGATGGACATGGGTAGAGCAGTTGGTGTCATCTGGAACTTGTGTAAAGCGTTTGACACTGTCCCACACAGCATCCTTGTCTCTAAATTGGAGACACATCAATCTGATGAATGGACCACTCGGTGGATAAAGAACTGGATGGATGGCTGCACACAAAGAGTTGTGGTCAATGGCTCAATGTCCAGCTGGAGACCATTAACGAGTGGTGTCCCTCAGGGATCGGTGTTGGGACCGGTCTTGTTTAACAACTTCATCGCTGACATGGACAGTGGGATTGAGTGCATCCTCAGCAAGTTTGCTGATGACACCAAGCTGTGTGGTTCGGTTGATACACTGGAGGGAAGGAATGCCATCCAGAGGGACCTTGACACGCTTGTGAGGTGGGCTGATGAAGTTTAATCATGCCAAGTGCAAGGTCCTACACCTGGGTAGGAGCAATCCCAGGCACAGCTACAGGTTGGGCAGAGAAGAGATTCAGAGCAGCCCTGAGGAGAAGGACTTGGGGGTGCTGGTCGATGAGAAAATGAACATGAGCCAGCTTCAGTGTGTGCTCGCAGCCCAGAAAGCCAACCGTATCCTGGGCTGCATCAAAAGGAGTGTGACCAGCAGGTCGAAGGAGGTGATCCTGCCCCTCTACTCTGCTCTCGTGAGACCTCACTTGGAGTATTGTGTGCAGTTCTGGTGTCCTCAACATAAAAAGGACATGGAACTGTTGGAACAAATCCAGAGGAGGGCCATGAGGATGATCAGGGGACTGGAGCACCTCCGGTATGAAGATAGGCTGAGAAAGTTGGGGCTGTTCATCCTGGAGAAGAGAAGGCTGCATGGAGACCTCATAACAGCATTCCAGTATCTGAAGGGGGCCTATAAGGATGCTGGGGAGGGACTCTTCATTAGGGAATGTAGTGATAGGACAAGGGGTAATGGGTTAAAACTTAAACAGGGGAAGTTTAGATTGGATATAAGGAGGAAATTGTTTCCTGTCAGGGTGGTGAGGCACTGGAATGGGTTGCCCAAGGAGGTTGTGAATGCTCCATCCCTGGCAGTGTTCAAGGCCAGGTTGGATGAGGCCTTGGGTGATATGGTTTAGTGTAAGGTATTCCTGCCCATGGCAGGGGGGTTGGAACTTGATCTTAAGGTCCTTTCCAACCCTAACTATTCTATGATTCTATGATTTTGTGATGTTCTAAACAGTCTTACTGCCCTTTACTGAGATTTTATATTATTAGTTGTGACTGAACTGTTGGCCTGTAGTTAATGTTTGAGTCAAGAAACATGGAAGTGGAGTTTGTACAACAGCAGTGTTATTAGGTGTTAAAGAGAGTGGACAGAACATGACTGAAAAAATATACCAATTTTATTTCGTTTGGGCAATTGGAAGACTTTGGTTTTAACAAAAAAGTCAAACTTGCCTCTCTGAGCACTGGGAATAACTGCTTATTGTTCAAATCACTGATCGACAGTGCTGTAATTTCAGGGCAAAAGTGGGTGAATAGTATACTCTAAAACACTCAAATCTTCATCTCTCTTGCACATGAAATGGTTGGTTTTGTTTTTCATATTGTTGATGTCCTTGCCAATGACACATACAGTATTATAATAGATAAGACAGTGTAAGACTTTGTAAGATTCTGCACTCTACTAAGTCAGAATCCTTCTGGATCTTATTAGTGGTGAGACAAGTGCCCAAACATTTTCAGTTAGATTTTGCAAATAAACCCATGAAGAGAAGAATACTTTCTTTAACATGTATTTGGAAATAATAAAACTAATATGTTGATTATCAAACAAAATACTAAAGGAAGTTGAACTAAGGGAATCCCCTTAATGTTGAGATGCTCTATATTCTGTACTTTGCAGCTGTGAAACTCCTTCAAGGGGCCGACCTCTTTAAGGACCAGACCTTCTTTCTAAGTCAGATCTCGCAGGACGCTTTGAAGAAAACCATTTTCCCTTTGGGGGATTTAACAAAAAGTTTTGTCAAGAAGATAGCAGCGGAAAATGGCCTTCATCATGTGCTAAAGAAAAAAGAGGCATGGTAACACTTAAACTCTTGATTTGTATTTCCTTCTAAAGTAGACTTCCCTGAACTATTTGAACCTTAAAACTGTGACAGCTTGTCTGTTTCTGAGCACTGTAATAGAACAGGTTGGGAAGCAGTTTTATAGCTGTCTACTTCCTTAAAAGAACTTTGATGAGCTTGTGGTTAGTTGTGTGTTTAGCTTGCAGATTATTTGTCTGCCATTGTATCTCAGAAGAACTAAGATGAAGGTGAATGTGTTAGGATGCTGTGAGCCTTAGGGAAGGTACTGTCTATCACAGCAGGTGAGAAGCCTTTGGTCTGTATTTTCTGTAGCTGTTAAAGGCTTTCTCACTAGAATTGTTTTTTGGTATGTCTTTATGAAATTGGAGGATGCTGTTTTCTACAGTTACTCTTTAAAAAACAAACAAACCAAAATTCTGTTCTCTAAGAACTCACACTTGATGAGTTGATCCCAAAAAAATGTAATGCAGGCAGTGATTGTGTTGCTGATGCTGCCTTTGTCACTTTTAATACTCATACTCCTCCACTGTAATGGGTGCCTGAAGAATATAGGCAGTAACTGAAAAGGAAAGGCTGTTTGTTTTTGAAAGATGATTTCAAGAGATATACCTTTACTGTATAACTTGTGTTATTTTTGTACTTTAATCTGCAAGAGCCTTCTGGTTTTGATATGCACACAGTATAGTTACCAAGGTTAATGTATTTATTTATTGAACATATGTTCTGTTTCCAGTTTTTTCTCTTTTGTGCTTATGGCTCTTACTGATACTGTACAAAATTAGTTTGCCTCTACTGGAGCAGATGTTGTGGTTTGGTTTATTTTATGAAATGCCTAGCATAGTTTGGGTACATGGGGAGGGAGTTCTGTTTTGGACAGATCATTAATAGACAGTATTTCAGATGTTTTTCTTTGCTATTATGGATTCAATACCACATTTCCTTTTCAGAGTATGGGAGTATGTTTCATTGGTGAAAGAAACTTTGAAAATTTCCTTCTCGAGGTGAGCAATGTTAAATCCTTGCCAATCTTTGCTCTGTTCTGGTTTTCAGTAGTAATTTATAACGCTGTCTACAGAAACACCTCCAACAGCTTTTGGCCCACACTAAGTCACAATGTCCGGTGTCCTTTTGCATTCCAAGCCTACCCAGAAGCAAATGCCAAGACCCTGTAGGAAGTACCTTTCGCCTCCATCCCTGAACAGTCAGTCACTTTCTGTAGCAAAAGGAGTGTGTGAACTTGCAGTGCTGTGCTTGTGAGGCTCTGACGAGTGGTTGAGATGTGAGAGGGGCAGATGGCTGAATCCTGCTGTCCCCTGCCATGAGTAAGGATGAGGGGTGGGGTGAAGCCCAGAGTTACTGCTGATAGGGACTGCCCTTCCTTCTTTTCTGTCTAAAGCAGAATTAGGGAAGAGGCAGTAAGCTGCTTGGGTAGAGTTTGCTGCTTGAAAAGTTAGTTTCCAGCTTCAAGAGAATGTAGTGACAGAACCTAAAATACACTGATGGGGTTTTTTTGGGCCATCTTGTGACTTCTCTCTTCCTATTTGGTAGTATTTAGAACCTCAACCAGGTAACTTTGTTTCCATTGAAGATAAGAAGGTGATGGGAAAACACAAAGGTAATTAGCTAACCCACCTTAATAACTGCTTTTAGATAAATGGAACAGCGCTGCTTTTATTTTGAGGGACAAACTTTGTGAAATTCCAAACCAGTTTTTCCCAGTTTGAGAACTAATAGTTGTGGAAAACCTACTTCATACAATAGTTGAGCCTTAAACTACAACTGATTTTGACTGTGTTCCATGTTGCAAGAAAGTAATTGGTAATTATAGGGTGACTCTGTTGTTACTAAGTGGTGGTTAATTTAATACCAAGAGACCATTGTTCATTTAATTATTTCAGAATGACTGCGCCTCAGTTCCAGAATCTTTAGTACCTGAACTTTGCAGAACAAATACACCATGCACCTCAGTGATGCATAGCAGGGCATCACCAAACATGGGCAGCTTATGTTTTCCTTTTTTCTGTGTGTCTTTCCTTTGCTCTCCTCAGTTCTGACAGAACTGAGTTCCTCTCCCAAATAGTTTATGGGAGTAGAATGTTCTTCTAGCAAGTAAAAGTAAGGGAGACTGGTGAGACTAAGTAATAATAAAACAACAAATTGAAGCTTAAATGTTTGTCTTTTATAAACCCTAAGAATAGTACAATAGAGTTTGAAAAAGATGAGTTTGAAACCATGTGCTTCAGGTACATCTTTGAAGTAGGTGCTAGTTCAGCTTGTAATTGGCAGACTTCTCTAAGACAACTTGGTTTGTTATTGCTTGTTTAGTGGTGAAGTTTTAGGGAAAGGTTTGTAACATATTTTTCTGAAGGTAAAAGATAAAAATTGCTTCCAGCATTACATTTTTATATTTCTTTAGGCTGGTTCCTCTACACCATAGGCCAGAGGGCTAGACTAGCAGGCCTGAGGGATGCTTGGTTCATTGTAGACAAAGATGTCAGCACTGGAGATGTCTTTGTGGTGAGTTAATTCATACTGGTATTGCGAATGACTAATGCAAGCATTTTGTGACTCCTGCTGTATGGAATGTGATTCTGACCTGGACAGAATTCTTGGCTTTCCTGGGGGAAACAAGAGCTAACTAGCATAGCATCAGCAGCTTTGAAACATCTTGTCCAAACTGGCTTTTCTTGAGTAGAAAATTGGTTTAGACTTCGGCATAGAACTTTTCCATACAAAGGGCTGAAAAGATACTGAAAAGTATCAGCCAATCTACTGAGCTCTTATTTTCTACTCTGAAACATTTTATTGTAGTTATTGTGACACAGTGTATACACTGTGTATTATCTTGGTTTACTACGTATTGCTACTTTCTTTTTCTAGTAAAAGAAATAGTAGCCAGTAATACAATTTAATAATCTTGAAAACTGAGGCAAAATACATATAATACTGCAAATAGTTGTTGTGTTAATGACTAATCATATGAAACGACTGAGAGTTCTGCAGCTTGCAACCGTTGTTAATGTTTCTTGATGTTCATTAAGTTGTTACTTAATACTGATGTGGTTATAATGGGGTGGTCTGCTACTTGTTGATATGCCTGGGGGGGAAAATCATAATCAAAAGAGAGTTGAGAGGGAAAAGGCAGGACCACTAAGAACCAGCGCCCTGGTTGGGGGGATGTTGAGTTGGGAAATTAGAGGAGAGGTAGCATCTTGTTGAAATGGGATAAGGAGGGCAGTACATGTCTGAACTCTGTCAGAAATATGATTGAAGGAAAAAGAATACAAGAAGCAACATGACTGAGATGTAGAAAACTGGCTATTAAGGTTTGCTTTAGACTATTCTTTAAATTAAAGGCTTCCACCTGGAAGCTGATTGAGTGCTAATAAATGCTTGCTTTCTTGTTTTGCCTTCATTTTGGTACGGCTTGATGATTCTTCTGTATTTCAAGCATTACAAGTTATGTGCTCTCTGTCAGAAACATCAGCATTAAATAAATATATTTTAAGGCACCATCAAGAGATCACCCTGCTCTGTACAGAGACTTGCTGCGGACAAACCGAGTGCACTGGATAGCAGAGGAACCTCCCGCATTGCTTGTTAGGGAGAAGATGATGGACTGTAATCTCAGGTTTCGGCACCAGATGGCACTGGGTAATCAAACCGTGGTGTTTTGGGGTTTTTTGTTTTACTTAGTTTGGGAAACTGTGGTCATGCGTTCAGTGTAGTTTTGTAGAAATAGTTGAAATGTTTTGGCTTGCCTTTCTGTTTCTAGAGTGTCTTCATAAAACGGTTCCGTGTATAATATCATGATTTACATCTGTTTAACTTTTAATGTGAACATAAGGATTAACTGGCAGGTGTTTGGCTATTTTCTGCTCTAGTGCCGTGTGTGCTGACTCTAAACCAAGATGGAAGTGTGTGGGTGACACTAGTGAAGCCAGCAAGAGCTATCACACCTGGGCAGGTAAGTTATTAGAAGTGATTTTCTTTCCTGTTTTGTGTGTTTTGGCATATCTAGCTAATAAAACAGTAGATGAAGCAAATTAATATATTGTCATGGGAGCAGTTAGCTCTACTTTGGCTATTCATCAGCTATTTTGAAGGAGGTTGTTTCTGGTATTAAATGCTCTGTTGTTACCCATATAATCTGAGAAACTGGTTTCCAAGTTTAGAAATAGATGAAAACATCTCTGATAACAATTGTATATGCAGAAATGAAATCTGTTGTGTTCAATAGATTTAAAAAGGCATTAGTTCTATAACTGGCAGCTTAATACGGTTTTAGTGTTCAAATTTGATTAGTGAGGATCTGTGTCCAGTGAATTTCATTGTCCCAGGACAGTACTGAGAAGAGGTACTGTTTAGTGATGCTTTCTAACACTGCTAATACCAGGATACTCCCATAACATTGTAAACCAGTGGTTCTCAAGCAGTTTCTGTGTGCCCTCTCCTAGTATATGTTCTACCCTCCCTCTCCCACCCCAAAACTTCGGAGCCTGTGGGACACATCAGGAGGGAAATAGTCTGAGAACATTTTGTAATGGAGAGAGGGATATACTTGAGAGAGGTGAGCTGTGAGCTGAGCTGAGAAGACTCAGCCAGAGCTGATGATAGGTAGAAGCCCCTGACTGCCAGGAGCTGCTGAGCCAGTAACTGGGTTCTTTACTGCAAGGTAATGGGACAAAGCCAGGAGGTTTGTGCTCCTTATCTCCTGCAAGAACCTCCTGAGCACATCGGAGCCCCAGTCACTTCGTTCCAGTAGCCCTTGGTCCACTTCCTGTTTGGGAAGTGCCACTGTAGCCCATGGAAGGTCAGGTGAAAATGCAGGTGGTGTTACGTACATCACCCCCTTAGGGAAAGGAAGCTTTCCAGCTCAATCCATTCCACCTCAGTAGTTGAAGTTTTGAGATAATCCTGTAGAAGTTCATGATGGAATTTCCACCAACATGTTTATATATTTACAGTTGTGTAAGCCTACAATCCTTACTGCCAACAAGTACACTCACTGCCCACCAGGTCTTGCACAGCCTAAAATTGTTCACCATGCCATTTGCAGCTGCTGAAAAGGCTCTCCCTCTTTTTCTCCTAGTTTGCAGTGTTCTACAAGGGTGATGAGTGCTTGGGCAGTGGGAAGATCCTAAGGATGGGCCCATCGGTGTACACCATGCAGCAGGGCAAAAACCGAGAAGAAGGTCCAAAGAAGGAAGAGATTGATAAGATAGAACCAGCAACATAACACATGGGTTTGTTTATTGAAGGAGAATTTGCTGCCTGGGCATAATAAAACCAATAATAAGCACATTTTTTGTTGATCTGTATGTTCTTAAGGCCAGTTGACCATCAGGTCCCAGCTCTTGACTTTTAGCACTGAGCAGGCTTAAAATTGATGCCAGTTTGGTACAATTTTACTGGTCTGAATGGTGATATTTATATTAATATATATCAAGTGATCTCTTAAAGCTGTTCTGTAATGGTAGTTATGCATACAAGAATTTTAATATAAAAATAATTTCTGAAATCGTAAGTCTATCTTTTAAAGTGTAAATGAAATACTTTTTTCTTACTTGAAGATACCTATCCCTAGGTGACGTATGTGTGTTGTTTTACAGTAATGTATGTTTGTGCTTTGAACACTGGAAAACGAATGAATGACTTTTGAGCATTTTGAATGAAGTCCAAGCAGCAAGAGATTTTTCACTTTCCACAGTTTTTTAAGAAATGCCTTGGATTCTTCACTGTGTTAAGTGATGGTTTCAGAGGTTTACCTGATGCAGAATTACAAATGACGGGGCTTAAAACCAGTCTTGATTGTTGAATTTCTTTCATACAACTGACTGATTTTATGTAACTGATGAGGGCTGTTTGGTTTGTGTTCTGGAGAAGAGAATGCATTGTGCTGCTTCAGAAAGATACAAACTTATATGCATTTCCTCATCATGTAGCTAACTTCATGTAGACCCATTAATAATTACATGTCGCCATGTGTCAATATAGTATGGTATTAGGAAGAAATTAATACCCCTGTCCAAATTATCTTGTTATCTATATTATTATCCAAATACCTTATTATTAATAAGGTTTGGGTGCATAACGAGGGCACCCTAAGCTTATAATGAAATTTTATTACAGCAAGTCAACAGAAATGCATTCCTGTCTTTCAACATGGTAGTAGGTCACTGCCCCTAAAGCACAGGAGCAGGACTTTACAGAGGGGTGTGGAATTTTGAGACTTGCATCCAGTTTGGGTGGTAGAAAAGCTGTACCATGAATAGATCTTTTCAGAGATCTGAAGGCTTGAGTTACATGGACATCCTTTTCTGGTGTCTTAGTATCTTCTAGGAATTCCTTTTATTTCTTCTGGTAAGAAAAGTAAAAGGCAATCTCTTCTTAGAAGCGTGCAAGTAAAAGGCAGAGAAGATACTCTTCAGTGTCTGCCTGCTAGTCTGGCAAAGTTAAAACACACAGTTCAGGGAGCCCTATGCAAAGAAAACCAAACCCTGGACTGTTAAATCTTTATGTACTTGTTTGACGTTGCAGTAGATCTGATTGAGAGGGCAGAAAAGGCATCCTTTCTCACTGGTGCCAAAATTAGTTCAATTTAGAAGTCTGTATCTAATGTCTATCCGTACACAGGTTAACTGTAAAGACTATTCATGCTTTGCACCATCTCCTGATTTGTGTTAGGTTAGTTGTGTTATGGGTCCTGGTCATGACTTTTATGTGGTTTTCCAAATGCTTTCAGTATCTTTCCTGAACCTTTTGTCTTTGCAAAATGTAGAGTTAATTCCTAAGGAGTTAATGCTCCACATTATCCTCATCTGAGTTTTCCAGTAAATGTCCCAATTAAAATCTTCACAAGTGTTTTGTGTTATACTAGTGTGGTTTTTATTATTACTTATGTTCAGCCTGGAGAAGAGAAGCTGTGTGGAGGCCTCCTAGCAGCCTTCCAGTATCTGAAGGGGGCCTACAAGGATGCTGGGGATGGACTCTTCATTAGGGACTGTAGTGATAGGACAATGGGTAACGGGTTAAAACTTTAACAGGGGAAGTTTAGACTGGATATAAGAAGAAGTTCTTTTACTGTAAGGGTGGTGAGGCACTGGAATGGGTTGCCCAGGGAAGTTGTGAATGCTCCATCCCTGGTGGTGTTCAAGGCCAGGTTGGACAGAGCCTTGGGTAACATGGTTTAGTGTGAGGTGTCCCTGCCCATGGCAGGGGGGTTGCAACTAGATGATCTTAAGGTCCTTTCCAACCCTAACTATTCTATGATCTGTACAATTTGTTTCCACTGTTCTGGTTTGGTTTTAAACCCACTTGCTCTTAGATATCTTTTAAACCTGCTCCAAAACAGTTTTCTAGGCAAGACAGCTACTTGATAAATCTGAGCAGACTTTGCTTTCAGAACAATAAAAATAATCCCTCAACATTTTGTACAAATCTGCTGGTTTTTTTTTCCCAAGAAAACGCTCATCCTGCCCCATGGGTTTAGAAGTCACTTGTGGTTTCCTGGGTGTGAGCATTACTGCACTGATGGGTGGAGCTGCTGGGTGGTTTGAGCTTGTTTCACCACCTGGGTATAGTGCTGCTGGCTGTGAGCACAGGGAGAAAGCGCCTAACTCCAGGGGCTGGCTCATTCAAGCAGAGATGTGTTTACCTGTGTCTTGAAAGCATTTCCTTAACCTGTGAAAAGGGCTTTTTTAACCCTTCCTCAGCTTTTTAAAAACTTTTTTATCCTTTGGATAAGGCATTGGGATAATTTTGCTGCTGGATTGCTGGTGCAGTGCTGGTCGCATCCCAAGCCCCGGGGTGTCAGGGTGCTTGCTTGGCCAAGGCGCTGTCAGTGCACGAGCTGTAAGTGCTTTTAGCACTGTTATGGTGAATTTAGGAGTTCCGGCAATGAGATTCCAGCTTTGCTGAGGGGAAGTTTAGCCAATGCTGCTTGTAGTGTAACTGGAGTGGGGCATGAGTGTCTGCTACAGCTCCTGTAGGATGGAGCATTTTCAACAAACCGTGCTTCCCTCTTTTTTTCTCTTTAAGCATCCTTGTTTGGATACAGCAGCAATCCAGGATGGCTGATGCACAGAATTCATAAACTAACATGTTGCTCTTCAGTGGAAACCTCTGTAGCAATGGTCTCAATTCACTTCTGAGGCTCAGGGACTTTGATTTTATCATCAAAGCAGAGCCTCATGGTTCTACTGAAAAAAATTCATCTGAGGAAGAGGTGAGTACGGTCAGTGAATTCTACAGTTAGTAGAATCTCCTCGTCTGAGAGGGATGGAGGCTTCTTCTTGGCTTTAGTACAGGTCAGCCTCTTGCAATGATGATGAGCAAATTTGATATGATAAAGCAATTGCTGTTATTGCTCCCAGTGAAGCTCACCATCCTGCTGGGAGCTAGGAATTGGTAGGCATTTGTGTAATTGAAATTGCACATAACTTCTTGCATGGGATGTTTTACAACAGCTTGCATATGTCCAGTCACATGAAGCCTGCATGTTTTAAGCAGCATTTCCAAATAGCCTGTACTGTTCAGCATGAGTGGTATGTTTCTCTTTCTATCCCATGTGTTTCTCCTGGGTAAGGGTCTCAACTACTGACTTCCTGTGTGAGATCCTTGCTCCTCTCGCATGTAGGTTCTTCGGCAAGGGGAATTTTATTCCACCCTGTATAGGGCCACAGCTTCTCAGGGGAGTCTGGCAAAGCAGCCTGTAGAGGCACATTTCTACCGCTGGCCCTGGCTGTTACACTCAACATGAGCGCCACCATCACTGTTTCTGACTGTTTGTAAGGAGGACGATGGTGTCAGTAGCCCCAGTCCCACGCAGCTGGTGCGTTGAGAGAGGAGCCTGAGTCCTATGTTCCATTGTGCTCAAGGTTTGCAGAACCAGCATGAAATGCTTGTGAAAATGCATGGGAGCACATCTGTAACAGCTTGCTAACAGGGTGAAAGAGTGAGGTGAGAGCAGAGGTCAGTGCCTGGGGTCAGGCAGCCACGCTCCCCAAAGGGACCATCACTGCCACCACGTCTCATGCTACCTTTGCCAAGGCAGGAATTTGGCCAAGATTTGGCTGGAATTGGGTAAGAGCAGTTTCACTGGTATGTGAATTGTCTTTTCTCTGCTGCACAAGGTTCCCATCAATGTGCTTTTTAACACTTACCGGTTTTTCACTCTTTTGTCATTTTTCCTCACTTCAGGCAACAAATTGCAAGCAGGTGAACTCGCTTCCAAGTTGTGACAGTAAGCCTTACACGTCTGGGAATACTTGTTTGCAAAGACTCAAGTGAATAGCTATTAAAAAAAAGGACTTTCCCCTTCCAAATACAGAACACAATAACCAAAACCCACAACTCGTGCCAGCTGAAGGCTGGGACTGAACTGAAACCTCTGTTGTACCCTATGAATACATTCGAACCCTGTGTTTCTGAGTGCATGATGTCTGAAAAAGTTGTGCTCCAAACCCTCCTGGTTTCCCTCCTTCTTGCAGTGTTCCTGCCCCAGCTGGTCCCACACAACTGGAGGTCAGGGCTGCTCCCCATGCAGGGACATCTGTTTTCACCTGGATGGCTGCTTTGGAGAGGTGAGACGTTGTGCAGGCCTTGTGAAGGGCTTCGCTCGCGGGGCAGCAGCTCAGTAATTATGGTCCAGCAGTAAAAGCATTGGCTCTTGGTGCTCACATTGCCTTGTGGGACTGAGAGAAGCTTTCATCTTCCTGCTTCAAGGTGAATCGTGCACGTGCTGTCTCTAGCTGCAAACCACGGGGAACAAAGCTGATGTTTTTATGCAGCTTTCTTTTACCCTTTTTAGAAGAGATCTGTCTCTTCAGCATGTGTATGAGCAAAACGTAAGTGTTTTGGATGTAACGTTTAAGTTTGTACACACACATATATATAAAACATCTCGTAGTTCAGGCCCTGTGGAGAAGGCTGAGCTTTGCATGGAAGCTGGGATATGAATGACTGTGTGCAATCGCCTGTGCTGACTCACCCTGTAATGGGATGGGACTGAAGATTCCTAGCCCTTGACCAAGGCCAAGAAACCCCCCAAACAGGTAAGCAAACAGAAGGGATTTGTTTTCCATGTGAGAAACAAGGATAATAATGGATGAGGCGATAGGTACTGGCTGGCCTTCAAGCCTGGAAAACACGGATGTTATAAGCATCAGGGTACGATGCAGAGTCCCGGGACCATGACAGTAGGTAAAGAGGATGTCCCACTGATGAGCATATTTGCAACCATGCATATTAGCATTTTAAAAATGCTTCCTCTGCATTTATATGTATTTACATGTTTTAGTGAC